TATTTTCACTAAAAAATAATAAAAACTACATTTAAGAAATTTTGTCCTCTTAAATAAATAAATCAGCAACAAATAAATGAATAATATAATTAGAAAATTTATAACTTATGAAAAAAATAGATGATATATCAGCGTATAAATAAATTTTACTTTATTATTCAATAAATAATGTACATTCTATGATAATTTAAAATGAATTTGATAATTTAACAGATTAACAATTTTCTATTAAAGGATCATGTAATTTTTTTTACACCGATAGCATATACTCGTTAAACCCATACTACAGTAAATATAATTATATAAAAAATATATGAACACTTTTGCAATAATTTATTTAAATTATTTTCATTTTGAACTATTCAGCCAATGTTATTAATTAAATATTAAATAAATCTCTCTTCTATGTCGCAATAAGCCAACAACGATTCGTGAAATTGAAAAACCCCTTTTCCTTCGTTAACTTGTTCATTTCAACTTAGAAAAGACTGTCACATAACTCTGAATGCAATTACTGAATCTCGCTTCAAATTTTCAACTTGAATACAACACTCACTCATGCTTCGGTTTATCTCCAATGGGTCAAATCTTTGTCAGCATTTTACATTCATCCCATTATCAAAAAATCGTTGCCAGTTTTCACGCCTGCCACCTATTCGACGAATGTGCCAGCCGAAAATGAGGTTAAATTGCAAAAACTTAGAGATAAATGGAAGGATGCCACTGAAGTTTTAAGTAAATGGGGTTGTGTTGAAGACGATTTGAAGATGATATTTACCCGTTGCCCCGCATTGCGCAATGCAGATCCTGCTCAGGTTCAATCTAAGCTTTGCTTGCTTAGTGACTTGGGTTTAGGGTCATCTGAGCTAGTGCAGATTATCAATTGCAGGCCTCGATTTTTCAGGACGCGGATTAACCATAAGTTCGAAGAGAGGCTTGACTCTCTTATTTCATTGTTTGAGTCAAAGGAAATGCTTCACAAGGCCATTCTGAGAAACCCGTCACTGTTGTGTGAAAATAGCTATGACATTGACGGTATTGTTGCACAATATGAAAAGTTAGGTGTACCAAAAAGGGACTTAGTTAAAATGCTGATTTTGCGGCCAACAATCATTTCGAGGACTTCCTTTGACGATGAGAAACTCGAATATATAAGTAGGTCTAGGGTTTCGAAGGATGCCAAATTGTACAAGTATGTGGTGACATTAATAGGCATTTCTCGCGTGGACACAATTCGTGAAAAGGTCTTGAATATTGCAAAGTTTGGTTTTTCGGATGATGAGGTACTTGGTCTTTTTGGGAGGTCTCCTAATATTTTGACAATTTCAACTGATAAGGTTCAGAGGAACATGACTTTCATTTTAGGTACAATGAAGCTTGAAGCTAAGACGATCTTAAAGTATCCGAATCTCTTGTTCGTAAATATGGAGACTGTTTTGAAGCCAAGAGGGCTTCTAGCAATGAAGATACGAGATATGGATTCCAAGTTGAAATTACCTTCAATACTCATGGCATTGAGGATGTCAGAGGAGAGGTTTTTAAAGTTGTTTGTTGAATGTCATGACAAGGAAATTGCTGATGAATTAATGGAGTTTTATACAAGGACAAAAGAGGCTAAGAGATTAGCAGCTTCATCGAAGACTTGTACTACTAGAGGTTTCCCTTTTTGAACTGCATTTATATGCTTTGAAATAAGTTTAGAGCTGAATCAGATTTCTGTTTTGTGGTAATTATATTTCTGACGCTTCATATTAGCTTCTCTGTTTGTCTAAATCTTAATGAAAATTTTTCCTCTTAGTTTTTGTGACAGGTGAGTAGCTAAGTTTTGAAGTGAGTATATAATTTATATTCTTATTGATGTAAAATATATGCTGAATTTCTTACAAATGACAATGCACGAATCCTTATTTATGCTTATATTATACTCCTGTTGATCTATGTCATAGATATTCGACAAAGTTGTATGTTGACTGTCGATTGCCTTACACAACCCTCTCCTTTTATTCCGGCTATGCATAACAATGCTAACATAGACAAGATTCCAACGAGGTTGGCCTAGATGAAGCATGTGAGGCACGCAAGTGGGAAGTGTATGTACAAAGTCTTTAGTGAGAGGTTCTTGGTTTGATCTTTTGTGAAAAATAAATCTCTATGAGAGAAGTCATACTCTTGTTGCTCTGTTTGTCTTAAACACGATTGTCTGTGGTAGCAGTGCACCTGTGAATTTCATCAAGAAAAGAGAGAACGGTAATATGCTAACATAATTATGGTAGAATAAAGACGAGTTGATACATTTCTGACAGTGTAACATTCATAAACAACTTAAGTTTCTGTACATGGAAGCAAACCTAAAGAGCTCTTCAATAAAGGAATGTTTTAGATTTAGACATTATTGAATTTTAGGAATTGAGAATCGACATATGTAAAATCCATTCACTGGCCATGTGTTTTGGCCAAAAAACTTGTACGTGATTATTCTACTTTAGTTTTTGCACTAAAATATTCTATTTCATAAGTTTTTCTTGAGAAACACATAATGAAATTCTATTGTGAGTAGAGTTTGTCCTTCTATACTTGACAAATAGTGTCAATAAGATCTTAATGACAACAATGTCCCAGTAAAAACAATCTAAGAACCTTGTTATAACTTAGATTGTTTTCGCCTTCATACATACATCTACTACTGCATCAAGGAAGGTTGACTGTTTGACATTTTCTTTCTGTTGTTTTATATTCCTATCTGTCAGCCTGTAAGGCTCTCTACTTAAAGGTGAAAGATTGTTTTCTCTAAAGGAACTGAAAGATATCATTAACAAGGTTCTTATGGGCTATGGTTGCAACCTGATTCTTTTTTATATGGACCACAATTTGAGGCTTTAGGTGATGTTCTATGCTTCACTTGCATATAAATTCATGAGGTGCAGTCTTTGTGTATGGCAAAATTGCATGTTTGATTGTTTATGCTGAATGATAAATTTCTGTTACTGTGCTTATGTTATTCTTTGCTCATATTTGTATGACACTAAAGACATGTTTGGATGATCAACTTCTTTGCTGCTTATAGTACAAACGCTTATTAAAATAAGCGCTTAAGAATAAATTTGGCTAAGTCATTAAGCACTCAATCTTCTGGCATTGAGTTATGTCCTTTCTTAACGGTGAAAATTGATAATGGACAAGGCATCAATATTCACTCACAATACACAACAAATTAACAACCAGTTTGGGTAAATAGTTATTTTGGTTCTGAATGTATAAAACCATGTGATTAGAGTGGTTAGAGTCATGCGTTGAAATTGCAAATGCATTCTTAGTGTCTTTTGTTAGTAATTTGAGAGCAGATTGATTAATTAAAAACACATTTTAGTACTACACTAACTAAGAAAGACATTTAAATATGTCTTTTTGATACTCCTCTAAACTCAAGGATTATAGGGCCAATATATCATGCATCATTTACGTTAAATGATTTTTAAATAATTTTAACAAGTTACTTTATTTGATTTTTTAACAAATTAGTTCTTGTTTACGAAGTTTTAAGCATATTTGTTTTATTATTATTATTTTTTGATCAAGTAATTTAGTGGTTAAAATTTCACCAAGGCCGGTCCAAGAGCCAAGCCACAAAGACTAGGGTTTTAGGTCTCAAAAGTTCGGATTTAAAAAAGTCTTAACATTTTTTATTTAATTATAATAATATATAATGATAAATTAGACACATAAATTATCATAGTTAAGTTGAAAACATCTAGCCTTCATTTCTTTTTGCTTTTGAGTTCAACTCTTAGCAACTACAAAATTATTATTTTAAAATACATTTTAATAATCTCATTTTAAAAAAAATTTAGGCCTCCAAACTAAATAGGCTGGCGCTGAATTTCATTATTTAAAATGCGAATAAATAAAAAATCATAAATTCGAACATATTTCTCTACATCTAATATCATTGTATAAGTATCAACCTCTAATATATTCATATTCATTTTACATGACACAAATGCAGTATTTTATTTAATTTATATAAAACTCTATAATTGATGTATATGTGAGGTCATAAAACCCTCTCCCCACATAGTTTTCTTTTTGAGGTTTGACACCAAATTAAGATATATCTCTACACATATTTAAGATGTGCATATCGGACGAATTAAATAAATTCTTCTAATCACATGGTATAAATAATTTAGAATTTTTTTTTCTCACCTTTGCACCTTCTAAGCCACTTTTAATAAAATTTCTATTTTATCTTCAAAATTTAAAAATATATTTTCGAATGCATCATGTTTCATTTTTTTGGGATGATTTCAGAGATGCATTCTGAAGTTACGAAAAATCTTTTTTTAGGGTGAATTCAGAGATATATTTTCGAATACACCTAATAAACTATTTCGAAAGTACATTTCCTAATGAAATATTGACATTGAAACATAGAGAAAACAAAACAGAAACCTTAAAACATAGATATAACATATCTGATGAAACATTGATAATACATAGATATTACATAAACAATAATATAAATTAAACATTGAAAGGCAAAATTACATAGATATTGAAGTATAAATTTAGCATTACATATTGTTATAAACGGGTAACTGAGGATGTTGCAACATTTTGATAACATCTTCAACAGATCTCTGAATTTTCACATCCAATTCAATCAGACTCTTAGTAGAGTATTGGCGGTAAGTACTCCACATAACCTGTAAATCGTCATTCGTCTTCAACTCAAACTTTGTGTACTTGACTTTTCCATCAGTGTCAAGTGATGGTGAATGATATTCGACCTTGACTATCCTCTGATTTTCTGAATATTGCAAAAGAGAGTTGAGTATGGTAATGAGCTCGGCAAAAGGCGTATCCTCGCAGAACCTAAACTAAAGTGGCGGTATCGCACCATTAAAGTAAAAGCAAGGTGAGGATATGTTTGTGTTATATCTAATTTATGGTGTGTGATATCTGATTTGTGGTGTTTGATGTTAAAGAATAGGTTTAAGATACCTTATTTATAGAAGTTTTGGAGCAATGTGGTCCTAAGAATTCTTATATTGTGTCAGGGAATTTTTCGGATATACACTTCCAAAACAACCCCTTATATTTTTAAAAAAGAAAGGTGTTTTCGGAAGTGTAGTTCCGAAACATTCCCTGATTGTTTATTTTTAAATAATTCAAAAATACACGTTTGAATTATGCAGAGACAAATTGTATAAATCAATAAAATGGTGAAAATCGGTAAAATACACTTCAAAGATAAATTCATAATTTAATCAGAAAAAGTATAAATCGGTAAATTGTATAAATCGGTAAAATGGTGAATAGATATATTATATATGTATTGAATCGTGTAGATACATTTCAAAATGATTCGATTATATTGTGCACGATAATACATACAAAAAATGGTTCGGTTATAATCTAAAATGTACCGAACAAATGGCTACCGCTTAAATCTAAAACTGGTAATTTCTTTGATTTCTCCCTATTTGATTCTCTTTCAAGTTTTGACAACTTTGTGAATTCGACCATCCTTTCCAAAAAATGATCCGCACAAATTTCCGCCTCATCTGCATGATGTGTCGTCCATTGCACTGACGTAGCCAGAATAGGACACCCCGACTTCAAAAATACTTGAAAAATGGAGCAATCTAAGATACCCAATAAAGATGATGCGGCCGCTCCGCCCCACCCCACAAAAGTGTCCATAAAAATAAGCTGGGGCATGGTGAACATTGTTGAGGGTGCTGACCTAAACTCTTGAGTCGCCTTGCAACAAAATGAAGGCGGGATAGAGCGGACTTACGGGCACTGTACCTTTTTAGCCTAAAATTGCAAAAACTTATGTTAATGTCCACGCCTGCAAAAAATGGGGCGGGTGAGACGAGCATATTAGAGGGTGTAGACCTAACATCTTGGTCTGCTTCGTGAAAATGCAAGTAAAAAGGGCATGCTCGACGGATCAGACTCATTTTTCCATCCCTAGCTAATTTTAGCGCAGTTAAATCAATTTTACTTCTTTAAACTTATATCTGGTTTGAGGGTGAACTTCTATAAAAATTTATTGGCGAGTGTCAATGTATCACACTCTTGGTTAAATGAGGTGGCTAGTGTTCTACGTTATAGAGTTGCTCAGGTTCTTTTCAAATATCTTGGCCTCCGTATCAGTGGAAATTCAATTATTTTTCTTTTAAGACCCTATTGATTGATAATCCGAGTAGGTTTATTTCGTTTGAAATGTCATAACTTGCCTTTTCGAGGCCTTCTTATTTTGGTCAAGTCATTATTGTCATATGTACTTTCTTTCTTCAAGACTCTTACACGTATCATTTATTTAATCAAATGTTTTTTTAAATTTTTTATGGGAGGGATGAGTATGGTAAGTTTCATTGGGTGCATTAGGATAAAGTTTGCTTAGACCGTGATCAAGGAGGAATTGGATCATCTGTTGCCTTTTTCTCTATGATTGTCTCTCTTGTGTCATTTTAACCCAATAGATTAATCCAACGGTTGATTAATAAAAAGGAAAGAGATGTTAGTGCGTGAGGCACTTCAGTGAGGAGAGAAAAAGTGAATAATAAAGGAAATAAGGATTTATATTATTGAATTGTACAAATAATGATACAGACTAGAAAAAATTATATACAATCCTAATTGGGTTTGGGTCTACATAACT